TGCCATGAACTAGGTGCACAATAGCACCCTACCTCCTAGTTGTGGGGAAGAGAATTTCATCCTTCTCCATCTGCCATTACGTTGTCTCACACAGATTTCATGTACTCATGGGCAATGTGAATTTCACCCTATCCTGCAATTGTAGGTCAGACCCCTGGTGGTGTTTGTAGAACAAGTATGGCACTGCAGTTAGGAAGATCACTATAACCACCTGCCCTGGTTCACTGGGTTTATGAATGTCAATGGAACACGATTTGGAGAACCGAAGGAGAAAATGCAATATGAAAAGGAAAGTGAAAAGGGGCTGTGAGGAAAGCAGGTCATTTCTAAATGAAGGCTCTGTGCAAAGAAATTGAATCTTTTCACAGCCGAAAATGGATCTTAAATCTGGTGCCTTAGCTTGTTTCTGGTTCTGTAATAAAATAGTTTTCCTAATACCCTGTGACCTGAATTTCTCCCTCCTTTATGGGTGCTATTCCTTGACGTACAACCTGTATTTTCTCAAGTCAGCATTTGATGATGGATGTCAAAATACAGGCCATGTATTATGCATATAGCATTACCGATTTAAGGTGTTTACTTGTCAAATTGAAGAAATTCAAAAACATCACATTCACTGAATCCGCACAGCTGTCACTTGTAGTTTTCCATGCCTTTAAATGAAAGTTCTGATAAAACAGTTTAGTTTTCCTTCACCTTTTTTTGGTGGAAAAAAATAGACAGCATCTAAAATTTATGTTGTGGGTGGGAGGCAGGCTGCAAAAAGGACATGTCCTGAAGGTTGGAATAAGGACTTGGTGGATAGACAGATACAGACCCCAAATCCCTACATTTTCTGATTTTTCTTTTGCTGAAAATATTCCAGATTTGTTAGTTGTGTAAACAGCCAATTCAAATTAAGCACTGTCAGGGAAATAAAGTTGTGGATATTTCTCACATCTTCCAAAACCATCGAGGAAAAAATATTAAGGCTCAGGATTATTTTTCATTCATGGAGAAAACAAAATCCCTTTAACATGCTTCCTGCATTTCATACAGAATGCACTGTGTGTGCAATGTGCAATTACAGAGCTCCTGACAGTCTGTGCCTAACAGAAATGCCACCTTTATTTCAATCTCCTAACACCATCCTAGGAAGACAAATATTTGAGGGGTTAGAGAGAGGTGGCTACAAATAGCCTTCTAGGGAGAGTGGAGGGAGTCATGCATTTAGAGGCATGTTACATTGAATCTTTACATTTTCCTCTGAGCTGGCAGGAAGCTACCGACTAGTTCTACAATCTGAAGGGCCTGATTCATTGAAAAATGTGTAGTAGACACAGTGTTGGACTGGGAAGAAAAGCCTCTAGGGAAATGAGAGAAAAGAAGCCTTTGAAGATGGTCTGAACAGTGGTGTCTCATGCTAACACTGCCCACTACCAATGCCTCAAGGGCTTGTGGGGAGAAGGTTAGCCTTTTCTACCCTCAAATCAGTGTGAGGTTGGAAGGCTTGCTGCCAGTCATGCTGAACTGTAATTCTCCAGTGGCCCCAGCTGCCTCAGTGCACATACAGAGCGCTCTCATTGTCTGTCGCTGCTTGTGTTTTGAAGAGCTGATGTCTCGCATCATGTCCCCTACTGCAGAACATGAAAGTATACAAAACACCAACAGAGGAGTCAACAACAGACAGCAGCCCAATCCCAGCGTCCACGTCTCCAAAAAATACCACTCCTGCCCCTTGCAAAGTCCTGAGACAGGACTCTCAATCCATAATTAATCTGCCAGCTCTTTTGAATCTTGAGAGGGCTCCTCGGAAAAGTCTGGGTAGGCCAGTATGAGTCAGAGCACAGCATAGATCTGCGATGCAGCACGGAGTGGGTGAGGTATCATGTCAATAAAAGTTCTTGAATGGCTGTTACTCATACATGGGATTTGGCCATGATAGAGACTATCATACAGAAATCAACTGGGCATGCAATCTGCTCTTTTCCATGGTGGCATAGTAGAACTGATTTCAATACAATGAGTAAGGAGTTCATTGAGTAAAACTAAACACTCTGACATACTCATCACTTCCGCCTGCCTTGAAGAAATCTGTTTTTATAGTATTATCCGAATCACCATTGTTGACTGGAATTGTATTGCTGTGCTTAAATTCCCACGTGGGAATTTGTGCCTTTCAAATCTGTGGAAGGCATTGAGACGACTTTGCCTCCCCTCCCAATCACCATTCAGAGCCTCTCGCCACAGTTTTCCCTCCGTTTTACACAGGGGTGAAAGTAAGTTAGGCCACTTACCGGTACGGGCCGGGAGGGAGAGAAGGGGGCCTCTGGCCCCCTTAAGGGGCGGGGCCTCGGGCGGAAGGGGGTGGGCTGGGGGTCAGCATCCCCCAACCAGCCCTTTCAGGCTGCCTGGCCCGCGCTGCCTGGGGCTCCCGTGTTGATTTAAAGGGCCCGGGGCTCCGGACGCCACTGCTGCGCCCTTTTAAATCACCGGCCACAGGGCAACTGCTCCCTTTGCCTCCCCTGCCCATCGGAGGCTGCGGGGGGCTGTGGGGGAGGGGGGAGCAATGACATTAAAGCGCTGCAGGGCCCTTTGCTGCGGCAGCGCTTTAACGTTGCTGCACGCCCCCCGCCGACGTTAAAGCGCTGCCGCGGCAAAGGACCGTCCTTAATGCGCTGCTGTGGCAGTGCTTTAATGTCCCTGCCCCTTTTGCCTCCCCTGTTGGCGGCCCTGCCGGTATGGACCCTACCAGCAGGGGGGAAGGGGCAGCGACGTTTGAGGATCCTTAAAGCGCCGCCGCAGCAAAGGACCGTCCTTAAAGCACTGCCGTGGCAGTGCTTTAACGTCACTGCCCTCTCTCTCTGGGTATGGGCCAGTGCAGGTTCTTACTGGTACCTACCGGCTCACTTTCACCCCTGCTTTTACATAGCCCATCCTCACAGGCCTTGTGCTGCTGGGAGCTTTCTTCCAGATGGCAAGGCACAGTTCATACTGGAGTCTCCTGGAGGATCACAAGAGTTAGAAGTGGAGAAGGCCTACAGTAGAAAATCCATCTCCCTGCAGGGGTAGGATGGTCTTTCAGCAATATTTGTTACATCAGAGTGTGTGTTAAATTGACACCACACTTGATCTTAGACAAAAGGCCAAAGTAGCTTCAGAACAAAACAGAGTTCTATCCCCCCTTCCCAGAAGGGTGCGTGCAGTAATTCCTAGAGCTCTCCCAAGCTCTGCTAACTCAGGAGCACAGAGCTGAACTGGAGATCCTCCCCGTGTGCCAAACCGGTGTTAGGCTAAGAGGACAATTGAGGGGCCAAAATTAGTGCACTTAATATTTTAAAATAGTTAAAGCTAGTTTGATAGTGGTGATTATTACTTCCAAGAAAGGGGAAAAAATCAGGTAAGGGACTGACATCGCATTTTGAAGTGCTATAAATTTATGAAAGGATTCTCTGATAGCTCATGACTTATTTATACTGCCAAAATTGAGGACAGGGCAGATGGAAATACAGTATCAACTCATTTTGGAGTCAATAGCAGATGAATGTATGAATGACTTTAGCTGAGTGGACCAATTTGTATGCTGTGAGAAGGCAATGGAGTTACACCAGGAATAAATTTGACTCTGGGGGGTGGGGGGAGGCGGGGGCTTGGTGGCATCTAGATGATTCAAATCTAGTCCAGGCGAGTAATGACAAAAAGTCAAAAATCTGTCTGTGGATCTCAGACATAAAGTTAGTCTGGGCAGAATTTGCCCAAAGTCTAATGGCTGTTCAACAATTTATAATGCAAAAATAGTTTGGCCTCATGGATAGACAAATAGCTGCTTAAAAAATACTGCCATAGCAAGGAGGAAATGGAGTCCTTGAGTCTAACTGCAACAATGGTGACGTTAAATGCATGCTTCTATTTTTCCTACTTTTTTCGAGCCTTAAGTATATATCATATCAATGAATTTCCAGGCCAACTTTTTGTGAGAGTGTTTTGGTTTATTTAAATCATTGACAGATTCAGCACTTACATTGTAACTCCAGCTTAGCAAAATAGTGTGCCTGGGTATTACCTTTTTATGTTTACGAACTGTTCAGTGACAGGTGTTCCTGCAGAACTTGCAGGGACTCAGGTGGAGCATGCAAGCTGCATAAGGAGGCCCTTGCTCCACCCCAGACCATCCCTTCACCTCCCATGTGACTCTTCCACACTTTCACTCTATGCCATCCTCTCCCCAAGTGTGTGCACCTCTCTCCTGTTTATCTCCAGATGTCCTTCCCCTCTCTCCTGCCCACCTGCCATATGTCAGTCTCGCTCCCCATTCCTTCCACACTAGTGCTTCCTGCTCTTTCTGACTCACGGTGGCTCTGAATGGAAGCCATGAGGATTCTGCAAGATCAGCATAGAAATTAATAATTCTATGGGCTTCATAATGCTTTTGGAAACTTCTTAAAGTAACTAAATCCTTCAGTGGTCTTTGCAGCTCCACCCTAAATCTTATGAATCAGACCCATCAGCTCCTGAAAGCTGCAAACATGGTGATTTAACAAGCCTTAGAATGCAGTGTGAGGCTTAAGTAAGGATGCTTATTACTAGTGTTCTTTGAAATACTGATAGCAAAAAAAACCACCCTCAAATATTAATGGCTTTGGATTTTGTTCTCAGTTTTTTAAACAAGGATCACATTTTGTACCGAAAGTTTTAGCATGTTTTGATGTAAAAACTGCTGTTTCACAAGTTTAGCAGAAGTGCGTTGGCTTTAATTGTTGCCAGCTGTCTTATAGCATAAACTGCCTGTAATATTGATAGGCTTGATGGGCTGTATTTCAGCAATGCTGAATGTTAAGTAAAATAGTTTATAGCAGATTTCTACCTGTAGCTCTCTGAACAATAATCTACCACAGGAGATGCATGCAATGTTAACGTCTGTTGTCATCATTTGCATCAGTCTGAAATGACTTGTTACATTCTTTTCTGTTTGCCTTGCTACTTGAAGTTCATCCTGTAACTGTCTGACATTCCTTCCTTAGGGTTTACGCCACCAGGAATGGATAGGTCATCTCCAGACAACAGTCCAGTCCATGGTCTGTTACGTCAACCCTCAATCACAACAGGAGCCAACATACCTATTATAACAGAACTAGGTAAGGAAAATAAAAATACTCCTTTCATGTCCATTCCCATATATTTTTCCATCTCCTTTTACAGGCCTCAGGAGAGTTACTTATTTCATAGCCAAGGACACCATGTTAACTCTTCAGTTAACTGTTTTGATTTACTCTTGCTGAGGAAACATTAGGGGAAACTTTCTACTTGGATAAATAACTAAATTAGTTCTTCCCTATGTGTTTTCACTTTGTGTGTTCTTGAACACACACTACATTAGGCAAGAGGTTGTTCTTAATGTATTGTACCAAGCAGGCATGGTTCTTTGGGACAATCTCTTTTAAAAAAAAAAGAAAAGTTGTGTAAGATGCCAGCAGACTTCCCTTCTGCATTTAAAAGGCTACTTGGTTAACCCTTCATGCTCCAAAACTTGTTTAATATTGCATAATCACTGCATAGTGACATGACACTTGTTACCCTTGAGAATGGGGCAACTGGTTACCTGGGTCTGATTTCCACTCTAGCTGTGGATATTCATGTTGTCAAGTTGTTGTGATGTGAAGTGCAGAAGCTTTCATGGCAAATACAAACTTGATTTGTGGTCCTTTGTCCTTTTTATTTTTCAGTTTTATTTTTTTTAGAGCCTTACCTGTCTTACTCCCTTATTTTATTCTCTTTCTGTACTTTCTTTCCCCCCCTAAATACTTTACTTATTAGCTAAGCCTGGCAAACTTCTGCCTTTGGTTTCAATCAGTCAGGAAAAAAACAGTGGAACCCACATACTAATGATAACTGAACTGGGTAAGACGTGCCTTTTTCCTTCACATCACTGTCCTTTTTTTGTTGTTGGTGGTGTTGTTCCTACCATCATCAGCTTTTTCTTTATTTATCTGGCTGTATCAGAGGGGCTACCCTCATGGCACTGCTTTGAATGGGTTTTATTTGTGGTTTTAGTAGAAATTGACTGTCTTGTTCTGGCCTTTCTTAATGATTTCTTTTTCACGCAGCATCAGTAAACCTTTGATCGCACTGGTCTGACCTGCCGGCTGTTTCCATAGCATCTTCTCACCAATTCATTTTCTTTGGCCTCCCCCCCCCCTCTTTTATTTCAGTCTATTGTCAATTTGACTGACATGCCTTAGCTCTCACAGGAAGTAAAAAAAGAAATAAAAGATTTTGAAAAAGAAACCCCGGTATCATACCTTCCCTTAAGCTGTTTGTTTTATTTTTTTTGTGGGTAGACCTTTTCTCAGGCTCTGAAGCTAAAGCAGCAAAGCTTCTATGCTGCACTCTCTCAATAAAATGAGATTTCACAAGGGGCTCAGAGCGGGGTTTGATTAGCATTTCCTGTGGTGCAGTGCTGCGCTCTTAAACCTACCCCCATCTAGCCAGGAGACCTTTCAAAAAAATCATAGCAGGCTAACTTGCATCAGGAAGATAAAGATATATTCAGACTTAAACTGCACTTGTAGAATTCACAGAAGATTTGGTGTAAGTTGGAAACTGACACTACGTACTGTTAGAAAGTCTGTGTCAAAGTCAGGTATTAGTCTTACAAGTCTGCCAGATAGAAGTGGAAAAAGAGTACTGCTGTTTATAGTTCCTCTCCTCAGCTAGCAAATTAAACAAAGGCACAGTCTTTTCAAAAAGTGAATTTTGAAATGGTACAACAGGCTTTCAACAATATTTTGCTTAGGAGCCCAAGAATAAATTGACAGCCACTGGGCAAGATATAGTGTAGATGGAGCTATTTACCAGGATGAAATTCATCTACACCATATAATGTAACCTGTGACTGTATATAGCTCTGAGAGATGTTACTTTTTAGTGGTTATGGCAGGGGATGAGGAATCAGGAATTGTATGTTCTATTCCCAACTCTGCTACTGACTCAGTTTGACCTTGGTTATGTCACAGCCATTTGGTGCCTTAATTTACCCATCTGTAAAATGGGGATAATAATGCTTATCTTCTTCACAGGGCTGTTATATTATAGGCATTGTTCATACTTGTAGAGCTCTTTGAGGCCCTTGCATGAACAGTGCTATACTATACTAGTAGACGATAGCTGTTGAATAATGGGTAGTCTGATCAAATAAAAGTAATTGTCTCAAGATGATAGTTCAGAATGGCAGGCATATTTCTAGATAGAGAGTGATCCAACTGAAGTCAATGGCACTAGGATTTGGCTTTTTAGGAGCATCCTTGTCTACTAAAAAATAAATACAGGGAATTTCCAATAACTATGAGACAAGAAAAGTATTCAAGATCCACACTATCAGATGCTGCAAAACTGATAATTTCTCAGACCTGGATGGGAATTGAAAGTAATTTGTCATTTAATTTTTAATAATTTCAAAAGCATCTTTGGTGACACAAATGATCAGTCTGCACTTTTATGACTGAGGAGTCCTAATATGGAAAAGAAAAGACTTAATCAAGTATCATCTGCTTGATAAGATTTATATCAAGTTGTGTGTAGTGGCATGGGGCGGGGTGGGGAGATGAACTCTGGGAACTCAATGAGAATCTAAATGTCAAATGTTACCTTGTTTGGTCTTTTCTGCAAAGCAACCTGATGTGGATACTTCCTCACACTGCATGGAATAGAATTCATGGCTAGGGCGGTGAGGCTGTGGCTGAAACCATACTGTAGGATAGTAGTAGAATTGCAATGTATTGCTTTTGTATGACAAGCTTGATGCAAGCTGAATGGGGAGCTTCCCTCTTTGGAGCTGCAATTGCATTAACACAGGTCCATCAGAAAAGAATCACAGTAGCAGATGCCTTTGGGTTGAACCAGTGTTTTTGTGGACGAGGTTTATATCACAAAGTGGACCTGACATTAACTGATCACGGCATATCTGTGCAGCCCTACCCATTGTATCTTGCCTGTACGGATGGAAAATGTATGTCAGCACCGTGGCAAATGAGCAGGTGGTGCCAAGACGGTCATTTTTATGGCACAGGGATATTCGCCTTTCATACAAGCAAAATAAGAATCAACAGATTTTTTAAGTGCATATTTTCACATCCACTTCGATTTCATTTTAAGTGATGTCAAAGACACAAGTCTGTGTTTCCAGACACATGCCGTTGCTTTTTCTTTCTGATTGTGTAGTGTGTAAGGTTACATGCTGTGGGCCAAGAAGCATATTATGATATTTTTGTATTATTATTTTCAGTAAACGATTCAAACGTTCAGTTTTTGGACCAAGATGACGACGACGACCCAGACACAGAATTGTATCTTACACAGCCATTTGCATGTGGAACCGCATTCGCCGTCAGTGTATTGGACTCCCTCATGAGCGCTGTAAGCAAATCAAAACTTTCTCCCCCTTCCCCATCAGACAGACTATGGGAGACTGATGCTGTGTAGCAGCTCCGTTGCCACCATGCAGCCTGAAGAACAAGATATCTTCCCTTAGACCTTCATACATCATCATTACTTGGGATGTGGACTGAGCCCCAGTTCCCCTCAAAGGTATTTAAGTGCATAACTCCTGTTGTCCGTTGGAGTTATGCGCTGAAATGCCTTTGAGGATCTCGATCTGAGACTCTGTAGCAACTAATCTCTCAGACCAGAGGGTATGTATATTGGCCTAAGTCTTCAAAAGCAACTGGTAATTTTGGATGCACACTATTTTCAGAAAGAGTTGAAAGTCTGGTGGCTTGCAGCGGGGTGTCTCAAACTGGCCTTCCAAAAATGGAAGCACTCAAAATCACTAGTCACCCTTGGAAATTTAGGGCATTATCTCTAAAATATGGAAATTGTCGTCTTGCATAACATAACTACCTTGACAGTTCAGTGTTTTACCCATTTTACAGCTTCTAATTATTTTTTGTACTCCTTCATCCATAAAGTGATAGTTCATAGTGACAGGTAACAAACAAAAGGTTTGGATGTTTAGATCAGATCAGAGGACAAAAGCTTGGATGCTTCTGCAAAGCTTAATTAAACCAGCTGACCCTCTTGGGTCTGCAAAAGTGGGCTGGAAATCAATGGGAATGGGATTTCTTGAAAGAGTGGATACATCACAGTTCTGGGTCTGAATTTGCACAAGAGCATGCTGTCAGGTTATTCCAATATTTCTGCTTGTATTTGGGACCAAGAATGCAAAAATATAAGAAATTGACATGGGTGTTTTGTTTTTAACCAATTTCAAACCTTGAAACAGGTTTGTATAAGGTTTATTTTGAGTTTCAGTGGAGTTCAAAGTAAGTAGCTATTTTGCCTAAACCAGTTTTTGGCCATCCATAGCAAATAAATAGTCTTCCTCTTTTATTTTATTTTAAAAACAGGCAGAGAATACTCTCTCAATACATACAGTCTCTACTTTAACCTAGAGTGGGTCCATTTTTAACTGGTTTAAGCACTCAATTAAAGGACTTCCATTTAAAAATGTTGTACTCTTTATGTGCCAGCAGATTAATGTTGGAGCAGCTTTCTGCAAATGGACCAAATGGAAAGCAAGCAGTCTAGGGTTTTTTATAGAAACACGGGGAAACTAACACTAGCAATTTACAGATTGATACTTTTCAATGGAAATAGACCTCTCGGGGTAGATGACTAAGATGCAAGAGAGATGTAATTAATGGAGGAGAATATGAAATGTTGTTTATGATAAGCTCCATTAAGCAGGCCTGTTATACTATACCTCTGATTTTAAAGTGTTCAAATGAGTATCCCTTTGGAGACCTTGTTTACTCCTGATTATCCTAACTACAGCTGTTTCAGAAGACTCTTTTGTTGCAGTATCAGCTGTTATAATATGATTACTTTGTAAATTATGTTTTTTAATAGTGCCTTTCATGATCCTGATCGGGGTCTGTTGAAAAAAGTTAGTTTCCAGCCTTGATTTAAAAATAGAATTTAAACAGATCAAACTCACTTACGGCCTCCTGATTTACATGTGGGAAAGACAGTTTGTCTATGTGAAAGGCAAGTTGTGCACATAAACTGATATTTACCTGTGTGACCAATATGCTGTTTGTGCACATAACATCTTTTTTGTGGGTAAAAATGACTGTGCAAACTTAGGGGCTGGTTGAGAGTCTTTTGTAAAGTTGAACCTAAACTTTCAGACCATCCCACTGAATTTAGTTTCATGACACTGGAGATCAGTTGGCTTAAGCCCCAAATAATACTAGAGATAGGCAAACCAATATTTTTTTTTAATAAGAGCCAACGCTAACCTTCACCTAAAAGTGAAACCAAACTTTTGATGGTTCAAAAAAGTTCAGTTAACCTTTTTTTTTTTTTTTTTTTTAAACTTTCTACTACACTTCTGTCCATTCCAGCCGCAGCTTGAGACAGATGTAATGAGGAAATCTATTCTCATGGTATTTTATTCCAATAAGGAGCATGAAGTAACAGTAATCTTATGAGATACCTTGTTCTTGTGAGTCATCAGCCAAATTTTGCAGACTTGACACATTTAGAAAGTCCAGATAAGTATCCAACCAAACTCTAACTCTAAACCATCACTAATAATAATTTTATGGGTAAAAGGTTTAGCGTTTCCATGTAATACATTGGATCTCTTAAATATGAAGGTCCCAAACTGGCATTTTGAAAGTTTTTTCACCTTACCAGACTAAGAAGATTCCTGAATGAAACTGAGTTTTAGTATTAAGAGGACACTGAGGAGTTCTATTGTAATTAAAAGCAGCTAATGAGAGGCTAGAATGAAAATATGATTGAGAGCTTTCTAGACAATGGAAGCCAAAAGATCCAAGTCATTTTCAGACAACATTTAAACATTGGGTCCATTTAGGTTTCACTGATTTCTTTTCTTCTGTAGCTCCCTTCCCAAAATTGCCATTTAATCAGGTGTCTAAGCATCCTCATCCAAAGACTGTCTCATAATTCAACCCCTGCTGTTTGTTGCTTCACTTATTGAAAGGCTAATCCTTCTATTTATTACAGGCATTCCCAGAGTAACAGATAGCAATGTTGCAGACACGACGCCATTGCTTTATTGTGCAAACACTAGAAAGATAAATTATAAGAGAGAATAATTGTGTTTATGCTTAGATAACTCACAATGGACTATTACAATTTAGAAACATTTTCTTTGAGCACAGTCAGTTTATTCTTCACAAAGTAAATGGGACGATTTTCCCCTCTAAATATCTAGCTACCGATGACATATCTGTTCATGATCTCTGTCTTCTTTCTTCTGCAAAGATTCTTTGTCAAACTTCATTCATTCTTAAGTGGTTAAACAATATAATGGGTCACCACCATCTGCAGTCAGGGAAATTACTGTGATGCCAGAAATAGAGAATTCTGATTTAGAGTGAATCCCTGTTTCTTTCCCTAGATTAGTATTTCTTCTATTAGAATTATTTGCCAGTCTTCATTTGCCATACCAATGCTGTCTCCACTTCCTACTGCTTTGCTGATGTGGACAAGGTCACTCTCTCCTCCACTCCTGGAAGGCTTTCCACTGTCCAAGCTATAGGGTGGAAAAGGAACTCTCCCTCCTCCTCCTAGCTGTCAGATGGGTGAGGTGTCCATCCTTCCTTTTCTCCTACGCCTCTATTGGGGTGATGAGAAGAAGAGATGCTCCACATTTTTTTTCTCTACCCAAAAAAATGGCATCCTGTCATTTCCCACACCACCTGATCCACTGGCTCGGTAGTATCCACTTTGTCTGGCAGTTTGCTTTTTGTGACCCGACCTCTACTTGTACTGCAGGAATTCAAGCATTGATTCCAAAATATTCTACAGGATTGTGGGACCAGCATGAGTCATACTTTCACTGAACCAGCAATTCTATCAGAGGGAAGTCCTTTGTCACGTGCCATCTCACTTTGAGACTTGAATAGGGTCTTCAGGATTACATCAACCATATTGATTCAATTACTAAGTTGACTGCAACTAAGTCTATGGGGAAAGCTCATCAAGTTAGTAGGTCTGTAATTGGTGTTTGTTGTGTAGCATGGTTGGGCAAAAGCTATATTAGCAGGGGAGAGGCTGGGATTAGCAGAGGAATAGTCAAGGAGGTTACAGGAGGTACACGTTGTTTTCTCCCACTGTGCCCTTTGCTGTGAAGTTTTTCATTGTGAAAGGGGGAAGCAGTGCGCCTTTTTTTAGTTGCTTTTTAGAATTAAATGTTACTCCTTGATCTCTGCAGAATGTAATTAAATTCTTAGTAATGCAAACCCACTGCACTGGGTGCAACACATGTATGTGAACTGCTCACATTCTCCTCTCACTTACCCAGTGGAAGTCTGGCATATGATGTAAATGGAGTTAATGCCAGTGTAAAAGAGGGATTAAATAAGAGAGTAATAAGCCCCATCCATCTGCATTTCTTTCTTATCTGTAGCAGCAATGGAACTCTGCACAAGACAACTTCATTTATAGCTACACAATATATAGCTCCTCCGCACGCTAATCCTGCCTATGCAGGTTTCTTAGCATCTTCAGCGAACATGGGGTGGGCAGACAAGAATGGTTTGGTTATTGATGATGAGGAAGTACTTTTTACTTTAGGACTTATGCTAAACAGAGAAATGGGTCTGTAGCCAGGTGCGACTCAGCAGTGCGGCACCTCCTACTGGTTGTCCTGGGAATTAGCTCTTTACCAGCCTTTGAGCACCCTCTGCTGGCCACCTGCCTCAGATCCCCTGCCTCACCATGTCCCTCCTGAACCCCAGTGCCCCTTTACCTTGGGGTTCTTCCCCAGCAGTACCCCCACACTCTGGGTCTCCCCTCCCAGGGGAATCCCAACCCTCTATACCCGCCTTGCCTCAGTGGCTTCTGCCAGTCATCACCTAGCCCCCTTTCATGGGGCCAGACTGCAGTCTCTAATGGACACTCATCATTGGCAAGGGGGTTGGACCTGCTGCCTTTCCCTGCAGCCCCAGTACCTCCCTAGGCATTCCTGTCAGGCCTCAGCTCAGCCTGTCTCTTCCCCAGCACTGCTCTATCCAAGGTACCCTTTGCTCCTCTAGGCAGTTAGATCCATCTCTCTCCACAACTAGAGAGAGACTCTGACCCAGCACCTCCCTTAGGCCTTCTTATACTCCCAACCCGGCCCTGATTGGCTGCCTCAAGCTCACTCCTGATTGGCTCCCCGGGGCAGCCTTTTCCCAGGGCTGTTTTTAACCCCTTTCACACTGGAGTGGGGTGACTGTTCCGCTACTGGGTCCCATCCCAAACTCCCAAGCATTTCACCTGACACAGATTTTAAGTATGATAATAGCTATTCTTAAACAAGGCTGCCTAACCTTTACTATGTCTCTGGAATAGACATCAGCCTCTGCTAGAGTTTTTCATTATATTTCCAGGGCCGCCCGGGG